TTACATCACAAAAAAATCAATTTTGACCTTATCCTCATAAGGATTGTGAGATCAACAACTTTTCCACAATTCCAACCAAAAATCAACCTCTTGACTATCATAAACATCTGGTGATGACTTCCATTCCATGATACCATAATCTTTGACATGTTTGACATACCAATGATAATTACAGACATGAGATTTATTCAACCTTTGAGGGTTCATATGAAGCAAGAAATCCTTAATAAGATTGACAGAATCCTTAACCTCCTTTATGTTGCTTTGAACTTCGCAAATTTAGTGTCCTTGCTACACAATGACATGATCAAAAGTTTCTTCCTCGTCATCATGGCCACCATCACTAACACCATACTCCTCATTAGGATCAACATCTTGCTCATCTGCCATCCCCAAAAGAACATGCTACTCTGATACCAATGAAACAAAAAAGAGAGCAAACCCCCCAACCTTTAAGGTGTTATGGCCTTAAATCCCACAGGCCATAAAATATTTTTAGAATATTCCCATGGTGATTTTGCATAACCACTACAGTATCCTATAAGTTCTTATTTCTTTGCGTTTTTCTCTTTGCTATTTGTACTTCCTGATTTTTGGTGTTCACTTTCAGAGTAGAAGATTGATGCCTAGATCACTACTTCTCATGGCATTTTCTCTGGTTCTGGTGATATTTATGTGATTTATTTTTCTGCACTACTACTGCTGCTGCTGTTGCCAAGAAGGCCATTTCTCCTCTTTGCAAAACTAAGTGGCCATGAGAACCAGATGCATCTCAGAATGATAAACATAAACCTCCACAAAAGAGCCAGAAGTTCCTTGGATTGAAATCATCTATACACTATACAAACAAAGAGGAATAGAGGACGATACACAAAGGATTACACTACAGCCTATACAAACTCATAGATAATTTTTGAGCAGGTTTAAGAACAGCCAGGGATGAGGCAGTAGCAATGTTGTATGCACTCAGCTGGTAGATTCCTGCCTCACAGCTCTATTTTAATGAAGCCAAAATATTTTTTGTCAGAATGGTGCATATTTTGTTGCCTTACAGTAGCATATTTTGCTTTGAGCTATTGCTTCATCTCATTCGGACCTCTTTAAAATTCAAGAAGCATTTCCAGTAAAAAAGGCCAAGCAAGTTCGTTGCATGCAAGATTTCTACTCGCCCATACCTTTGTTTGGGCACATATAAAAGTATTAGAACCCATGAGTAGGATAGCATATAATGTATTAACTTAGTCAGTGGTTAAAAAGAAAAGCAAAGAAAAGAAAAGAGCTTTTGTTCACATATCACATATCTAGTGAGAATATAGCTCCCTAAGTAGTGAATTGAAAGAAATCTTAAATTTGTAGGGAGTTTGTGGAGTGCAATAGTCTAAATGTAAATATTATAGTAGAATGTGGAGATTTTATTCCCTTTATGGTTTTATTTTTCCCATATATATATATATATACTAGAAGTTTGGAGCTTGACCTTCTAGAGCCTCCAAAGGCAACTTAACTGAAAACACCCATGATTCATTGGTTGAGCCAAGATGTGAGACACAAAATCCCTAGGCCCCAAAGTGGAGCTGAAAGGGTGCCATATGGTAGTGGTTGAGGTAGAAGCCTAATGAGCGTAATATATTTGGATTAAAAGCTCTGACTCAAGAAGTCGAGAGCGAGAGTGAAACTCCTAACAAAGTGCTCGAAGAATGAGCATGAAGCAAGTAATGAGTGAGTCTCTAAAAAAGGGACACAAGAGGACTAACACATAACACATAAAAGTGTCTAAGATGGAGTTCGAGATGGACTCGAAATGGAGTCCAAAATGGACCCAAGATAGAGTCCAAGATGGACCCAAGATGGACCCAAGATGGACTCTAAGATGGACCTGAGATAGAGTCTGAGATGGAATCGAGACTAAGACCGAGTCCAAGTCTGAAACCGAGACCGAGTTCGAGTTCGAGTCCAAAATCGAGACTGAGACTAAGACCGAGTCCGAGTCCGAGTTTGAATATTAATACAAGCTATTGGGTGAAAGCCCAAAGTGATGATCCCCCAAGGGGGGTGGGGTTACAGGAGGTTCCAAAAGTATAGTAGGGAGAGTGTGGGGGTTGGACCCCAGTGGAGCTAATTTGGCCAAGAAAGGCCAATGTGACCTAGGAAGGCTATGCCTACATGTTAGGTGATGATATATCTACTTAGGGGTCCAAGGCTAGAGTGAATACAGATTGACAAGCAGGGTAGCTTGGTGAAGTGTTCAAGAGCTGACTTTAGTTCCCCTGTGAGATCGAATGGTTGATGCTCCCAGTCCAAGCATAGGTGGCACTACCTACTTGGATATATAGTGTGGCTCAATGAAACCTCACTCTAAGCCCATGGCTAAAGCACCCAAAGGCGGAAGGTGGGGAGAGTACCCATGAGGCTTGCGTAAGGCTACGATGTTTCGAAATATTGTCCCAAAATCCCAAACTATGGAAAGGAAGAGAAGCAATCTTCTGGTGTAGTGACCAAGGATATGGTCATATGGTGAGGAAGTCCTAGAGGACAATGGGATTTAGTGGTCAGGCCTATGGGCCTTGATACAGTGGCAATGTTGGTGAACATAGCGATGGCAGAAAGGGATTTGATAGGGACTGAAAAAAGGATATTGGGAAAGGTTGTTCCCTATATCTATTGGCATTTTAAGGATGTTAAAGAGTGGATCTAGGATAATCACTCATGGATAGATGGCCCAATCTTTGCGAGATGAGACTATGATGTAGATGGTGTTGAATCACCGGTGTGACAAAAGTGAATAGGCATGGCCTTAGCATAACAGGCTAATATGTCAGTGGTACCTTTGGGTGTTGATCATGGGATCAGACACGTGGAGCATTTGGACCAAGTACAATGGATGAGTTGCATAAATGCCATTTTCGGGGCTAACAAGTCCTTAAGTCTGGAATAGGATTTATGCAAGTTGTGAGTGAGACTCTTCCAAGTGGTCAAAGGTGTGCTTAAGTAACTAAAGTAGAATGGAAAAATTTAGTTGTTCACACTGTGCTCTTGAGAATGGCTGCCAACAACGCTCTCAACACTTGAGTTTCACAATAGCCTTACATCAACCCTTTCTTCTCTCTTGGCTCGAGGTATGCATTGTCATTTTAGTAAATGCTTAATTTATTGGTTGATGAAATTTCTATTTTTTGCAACTCAATCACTTCATAATGCAACTGCAGATTCTAGGTTCCTTGGCTTCCTCCCAACTATTACAGTATGGTATCTTGTGACATCTTGCAAATGTGTTTTACAAAGTTAAAATAGCATAGTGTTAGATTGCTAGACAATAGTTTTGGAGGTGACAAACTTGTTTTTCATTTACAAGCATCAACTTTGTCAATACATAGGACTGTAAATCACTGATTTTGTGTTATTTATATTCCATAGAATGATAGTACTTTGGCCTTTCTTATCAAGCTAATTAAGAAAAATTCTTCTAACTATAACATGGATTCCTAATGGCTAAAATCTCATTTTTAGAAGTTATAAGTATCACTCTGTGTATTATTGCTTATAATTATCTAAAACATGTAATATTAATTATGCAAAGCACAATTCACTTTTGAATGTTGTAAGTTTCTGGACAATCCATGTAATTGTTGGAGATTACTTCTGATTATATATCTATCTTCTACACTCAAAAGTAAACAATAAAGAACTTATAATTTATATGTGCTTAATCATTACATATATCTTGATGAAGCTAGCAAATTGTTTCTTTGTATCCATACATTGCTCAAAATAGCACAATGGAGCTATATAGAATCTATATTTCAAAAGAAAATAATAACCATAAGCATGTGCTTTCGATATGATTATTTATATGTAGTGTTACACTTGTTTCCATGTGCAAGAGAAAAACTCACTTCAATTGTGAGAAATAATGCTATGTACATAGGAAAAATATAGTCACTATAACTCACAACTCGCAAATAAAAAATTAATTGTTGCTTACATACAAATATTTACAGTCGATCCTTGAGAAATCACGATGGCTGGATTGAGAAAAAAAATCACATACCTTACTACAACACTTTGGTGAAGACAGCCACAAGAAAAAACTTGCATTTGTGGCCAACTTGCAATTGATCCTAGTCAATGTCAATGTGTGACCACTAATTGACCCTTGCCCTCTAGATGCACAATGATGCATTGCAATGCCCATAAATGTGAGAAAAAACCTCACACTGTAATGGATGATACTTGTAAAAATCTTGGCTGCTTGTTATATGCTCAAGAGAGAAGCCAAGAGCTCAAAAAAGAATGTGCTAGGTAGATGTCACTCTCATGAGTTAAAAAACCCTCACTTTACCCTTTCTGATGTCAATGTGTATTTATGATGTGGTGGGACCCATGAGAACTCATCCAAATGCATACACATACACATCACTTTCCAATCCCTACAGCAATTGAAATGTGATGTAAGTATGTTTGCAAATTTCGTAAAAAGTAACACTAGAAGTTCATATTGACTATTCTTCTAGGTTTGGGATCTGAGCCTCACCATCAGTTCATTATTGTCTCATCCTTATGTAATTGTCACTGTTCCTATTCTTTTTTAAAGATAAAAAATATCATCTAAAATTTTAGCTTCTTGAAGAATAGTAGAAGCATTCAAATTAATGCTGCATCAATAATCACCAATGGTACTTCTAAATAATATCAAATTAATCCCAGGAATCATATTAGAAAAATTGGCAAATTCATTTATAAATTTTTCATTAGAAATCCCTGCCACTATTGTTAGTGTATGATAATTAATCTTCACAAACCTTGACCAGCTACAAGATCTTATATCTATCTATTTATCTATCTATATAATTAGCATGAAAATAGACTATATTAATTCTTGAAGGTTTCAATCTAAACCTAATACTTTTGAAACAAAAAATCTCTTGCAGCTCACCCTTGTTGCGCAATGCGGTATCTTTTCCCGCGAGGTGATCAAAACGGCACAGCCTTGCAAAAAAGTGTCGGTGATAAAATGGAACGTTCTTTATTTACTTGAATCGTCAGCTTCGCCAAAGCAAGGCTGAATCTTCCCCACATCTTTCACTAGAAACATAATAATCGTTAGTTGTGTGCGTCATGTCTACCAGGAGTAGACATTGCAACTTATTCTCCCACGGATAATGCAGGCGCTCCCTGTCAACAGCTCCCATTCGCGGCGGCGGCGGGAGCTCCCGCGTCCCCGGAGCAGTCATAGCTGGAGAGGAAGCCGTGCTGGGCCAAGTAATCCACCACCGTCTGCGCCATGGAGTGGAGCGAGACCGCGGAGCCATCCCCGGCATCGAAAGCTCTCAAGCAAATCTCCGGCCGGAGCGGGCGCTCGTAAGGATCGTCAATCCCCGTGAAGCCCTTGATGACGCCCGCCCGCGCCATCCTGTACAGCCCCTTGCAGTCGCGCTGCTCGCATACCTCGAGAGGGACATCCATGAACACCTCGATGAAGCTGGGCGATCCGACCGAGGAGCGCACGGCGTCGCGGTGGGATCGATACGGCGAGATGAGGCTGACGAGGGTGACGAGCCCCGCGTCGGCGAAGAGCTTGGCGACCTCGCCCACGCGGCGGATGTTCTCGGCGCGGTCGGCGGCGGAGAAGCCCAGGTTGCTGTTGAGGCCGTGGCGGACGTTGTCGCCGTCGAGGACGTAGGCGAGCTTGCCCAGCGCCGCCAGCCGCGTCTCGAGCGCGCACGCCACGGAGCTCTTGCCGGAGCCGCTCAGCCCCGTGAACCAGACGATGCAGCCCTTTTGGCGGAGGAGATTGCTGCGCTGGATCTTGGTCACACACCCCGCGTGCCATTTGATGTTGCTGCTGCTCGGGCACAGCGGCGGTGGCGGAGGAGTAGCGGCGTCGCCGCCCATCTGATCTGCCCGACCTAATCGATCGAGAATTTCTCCTTCTTTTCCTCCTCGCCCACAACAAAAAGAGACCAATCCAGGCCCGAGATCTTGGAGAAAGTTAAGAGAGAGAGAAGAGAGCATCTAATAATACCATTATAGCCGTAACAGGAATCTATTGACAAATCCATGGCCGGGCACAAGCCATCGCGCAAACCATCGCCACCACGTAAATGCCCAGGTCCGCCGAGAGCGCCGCCGTGATCCTCCTGGCGGCCAGGAAAGCGTCGATGGCGTCGCCCCACATCCCCGGGATTCTCACGCCACCACTGTTCTTAAGCCGCGAAGAAAGTATCGTCGGCGTTTCCTTGGTGGTGCTGGTGGTGTTCTTGGATTTTAGCAGCGCCAGGGCGGCGACGAGCGCGATGCTGGTGGTGAAGAGCAGCATCGTCGGCTGGATAGCGGCGAAGAGGTTGTAGTCGTCCAGTTTGCCACTGCCACACTCGGCCGCCGTGCTCTGGAATGCCACCGTCACGGCGATGGCCACCGCGAGGATTGCTCGAGCGAGCCTCGAGGACTCGATCGATGACAAGAGTGCCTTCCATGGGGAGATCGATGTTGCTCCGGACTTTGGCGTGGGAGCTGGGTTTGCTGCTGCTGGCTGATGATCCTGGCTAGGTGGTCTTCGTGTGAGATCGAGTTCTTCCAAACCTTTGCCACCATTTTCCTTTCCAGGATCCTTGTTTTGCTCTTGCTGCTGCTGATCACCGGATTGATCGTTCAGGGAGCTTAAAGGATCTTCCTCGATTTCTTGTTTTCGATCCAAGGAGCTGGCTGGTCTATCCTCGACCAGCTCTTTCTTCGTCAAATCCTTCTCTTTCTCCTCATCTACGACGAGAAAGGAAAGATCTTGAGCTGGACCCAATGGAATAGCATGATCTAGAGAAGGACGGCACTCACCCGGCACCAGAGATTTGCATTCTCCCGTAATGAAAGCCAAGCGATCAGCGCCGCGGCGAAGAATCCTCTGCCGCCTCGCCTCCCTCGCCTCCGCCATAGCTAGGGCTACACAAGAAACACACAAGAATTAAAACAATTTCTTCTGTATGATCTTGCCTCGATCGCTCCAGAACGAAATCTCGCGGGCCAGCTACCACCAACGGACATCCTTCGTCACGCTCCTTCGCCAGTGCGTCAGCTCCAAGAATCTCGGCCATGGCAGGCGCTTGCACGAGCAGATCGTCGATGCTGGCTTCGGCAGCGACATCCTCCTCCAGAATCTCCTCATCCGGATGTATGGAAGCTGTGGATGCCTCGAGGAAGCCAAGGCGGTCTTCGATTCGATCGGGCAGCGCGGCAATGCCTTCTCAGGCACCGCGATGATCTCCGCCTATGTGAATCACGGCAAGCTCCCCCAGGCGCGAGAGATCTTCGACACGATGCGGCAACGAACCCCAGCTTCTTGGACCGCGATGATCACAGCCAACGCGCAGGACCGAAATATCGCCGAGGCCTCGAGCCTCTTCGACCAAATGCCGGAGAAAGACCTCGTCGCCTGGACTGCGATGCTCACGGCGCTAGCGGACAACGATCGCCTGCGCGACGCCAGGATCTTGTTCGATCTCCTGCCGGAGTGGGACTCCGCGGCCTGGAACGTGATGATCGCGGCCTACGCCGCCGCCGAGGACCTAGAACAATCCCAGCTCCTCTTCGCGGCTCTGCCGAACAAGAATGTCATCTCCTGGACATCGATCATCGCGGCGCACGGCGCCTGTGGCGAGATCGATCGCGCGAGGGCGATATTTCGGAAGATCCCTGCGCGCACGGCCGTCTCCTGGACCGTGATGATCACCGCATTAGCCAACCTAGGGCATTTGGACGAGGCGAGGTCCGTACTAGCGGCGATGGGCTACCCAGAAGTGCTGGCGTACAATCTCCTCCTCACGGCCCATCTCCGGTACGGCAGCCTCGAGCAAACTGAATCCCTCTTTAATGGAATGCTGGAGAGAGACGTGGTTACCTGGAACACGATGCTCGCGGCATATGCTCAGGCAGGGCATCTTGATCAAGCCCGGAGATTATTCCAACACATTCCCGCCAAGAACGTCGTCTCCTGGACCACGCTCCTCGTCGCGCTCTCGCATAGCGGCAACTTGGGCGGCTCCAAGGACCTCTTTGATCGAATGCCCTCGAGAGATCTCATCGGCTGGAGCGCAGTGATCGCGGTCTACTCCCAGAACGCGCAGCTTGCCACCGCCCTGGAGCTCTTTCTCCAGATGCCCGACCACCGAGGAGTTCCCGCCTGGAACGTTATAATCTCCGGCCACGCCCAGAGCGGCCACGCCAAGCTCGGCCTCGAGCTCTTCCACCGGATGCTCCTTCATGGCCTGGATCCAAACCGGATAACTCTCACCAGCGTTCTAGCTGCTTGCTGCCACACTGGAAACTCGAAGAGCGTCCATGCCTTCTTCCTGTCCATGACCTCCGACTTTGACATCCTTCCAGTCTATGATCACTTCCTGTGCATGGCCAGCCATCTCGGACGATCCGGGCTTGTCACCCAGGCCGAGGAGCTGCTTTGCTCGATGCCGTTCGAGCCGGATGCCATCGGCTGGATCACGCTCCTGGATGCGTGCGTGCGTCACAAGGACGTGAAGCGCGGCGAGAGAGCTGCCGATGTCGCCACAAAACTAAGTCCCGGACGAACGGCACCTTACATCTTGCTCTCCAACTTGTATGCCGCGGTTGGAGACTGGGCCGGCGTTGCCAGAGTCCGGACGACGATGAAGGAGCTCGGAATCGGTACCCAAGATCCAAAACAAACTTCTTCTACCTCTTCTTCGTCCTCCATGGATTTCCTCCCCGATCGAGAACTTGTGTTGCACTGAAAGAACAGGATTGCTGGCTCCAGTGTTTCTCCTTCTACGTTCCCTGTCACATTTGCCAGATGTTCCCAATGCATACTAGGACACAGGGTATGTTGATTTCTAATGGCTGAGAAGGTTCATTTGGTTCACTGATGTTCTTTCCAGCATGGTTTGGGCACTATTCTACACTGTAGATTTGTCTTTCACAGTACAAAATACAAAAAAAATTGTATAATTCTCATTTATTTCAAAATATTTGTAATTTATTTTCTACCAATTTATTTGAATAGAAGGAAAATATTGGATAAGATCAATTTAATTTTAACAGATTAAATTTTTTTTGTGGGAAGATCTAAATTATTGGTTTAAGAATCTAATAGTAAATGTTTAGTAAATTTTAAAGTGTAACCACTATTTTATTTAAGGATTAACATCTTTGATATAACTCATTTCTAAGTGTTTTCATTTTCATACTGCTTTTGTCATTTTTTTAATAAAATTCAATTGTATCCTTATTTTATCTTATAAGTTTTATGAAATATATTTTAACATTCAAATTTGTTTCTGAAGAGTAATATTTTTATATTTCCATTTAAGTTTTTAATTTTAATTATAAAAATATAATATCTAACATAAACTTAAAAATAATTTTAATTTAATTAAGGTACTTATAAAGTTCTAAGTTTTAGAAAATAAAATTAATAATTTGTATTTTATTTATTTTTGTGATGTTGCAATTAAAAAAACTGTTTAACACTATAATCTAAATCAATTAACTAATATATTCTAAAAATAGCATTAAAATTTTATATTGATTATTTTATTTTTTCATATTATAATAGTTCTAAGTGGATGAAAAGAGAGATTTCTATATACACAATAAGATAATATATACAATTTAAGAATTAAAAAGTATAAATAAATTAACAAAATGGTTGGATTTTATTGAGTTCTTATTTATGCTATATATTATTAATTATATTTTAATTTTAACAAATTTATAGAATTTAAATAAAGATTATCGTTTTTAGTTTTTAAATATGAAGATACATCCTTTATATATATGATGAAAAACAAGTAAAATTTAGATTAAAATAAATTTTATTATATATATTACAATTTTTATGATGTAAAGTTTGTAAATATATGTATGTATATTTATGTATTACCCTAGTTAAGTAATATATTAATTATAAAAATATAATATATGAACCGTCCATTTGAGACTAAATTTAGTCCATCCATTTTTGTATATAAAAAGGGGTCTTAACCCTAATTAATATACTTATATCCCAAGCACTTACATTGGTGGAGAAGAGAGGCACTGCAATTTATCCTTGAAAGGTAAAGCTTTTGGTAGTGCTTTGCTGTAGTGGTCAAAATTATGCTTTTTATTTTTATTTTTTCATTCTCTTTTATTTACATTTGTATTAACTTTTTTGCAAGATCTAAAACTCTAGCTATCATCATGTTTCTTTCTTTTGATCTTCATTACATTTTCTTCTTTTACCATGCCTCATTATCATTAATCAAAGAGTATATCACTTGAGGTTGTTAATACTACTCTAATAGATCAAACTTTTTGGTGTTGTAATGTATGACTCTTTTGGTGTTGTGTCTGTCCTTGGTGTATTGGCATCTCCAACTTCCGTAGGACATTATTACACAGCTTGTCCTATTTTTGATATTTTACCATCTCCTATTGATGTGGAGTGTGATTATGATATTGATTGGCGAGCTATGAATGATGCCGTCCAATTCTTGGAGAATTAAGTTTATGGGAAGATGACATGTATGAGCTTGAGTGGATTCCAAAGTATAATGATGAGCTTGATTATTATAGAGATAACTTTAAAGATGAAATGGACATTTTGTAGAGTAGGTATTAATCTTTTAATCTACCATTTAATCCTTTTTTTTTACTCTTTTCTCTTTCCTAACTTTTTCTTATTTCTTGGCTTAAGCCAACTTCTCATTTCTTAATATTCCTTCCTCATTTGCAATATTTCATTTTCTTGGCATATCAATCATTTCTGACTTTTATGATTTTCATTCTCAGTCTAATGTTAAGTTGAGTGTTTTTTATCCTCCTCATATTAATTTAAATGTTAAATGTGTGCATAAAGTTGAGAATCTTATTTTTATTTTTTTAGCAAAGTTTTTTATCAGTTCTGGTGTTGAGTATTCCTCTGTTCCAAAGGTTAAATCACTTTGGCCAGAGTTTCAAATTAAATGCATATATTTAATTGTGAGTGCCATTGAGAGTTTTTGTATTATCATTGTTATTGAAGAGTTTATGTGTTCCTTTGAAAGTGTAGACATTTCTATTAATTTCCCCATTTTAAGTGTTGAGTTGTGTGTTAAGGAAGTTGAGAAGTGTGAATATTTAACTTTTATTATAGTTGCCAAAATATTTTATGATAGGAAGTCCTTTATTTTCCAAACTTTGAACATATGTCCTTTTGATTTTTTATTTTGCATTACTAGTTACTATAAATTCCTCTTTTAATGCTTTTTTATCCATTTTTTCTTCTTCCACAATAGTTTTTCCTCAATTTTTTTTATTTTCTCCCTTTTTCTTTGACATTTCAAAATATTTTTTCTATGGAGAAGGGGGTAAATGGGATGGATGGGAGTTTAGCTTTAATATGGAATGAGGACAAGTGCATATAGTGGTGAAGTGAGGACAAGTGATATAGATTGTGGAGTGAGGATAAGCATAATGAGTTCAAATAGAATATCCAACCCCAATATAAGGTAGCCAAACAAATGCAATAGTGAAGTGAGCCTAAACATAAATAACGGAGTGAGGACAAGTGTAATGAGTTTAAACAAAACTAGTGTTTAAAATTTTTTTTTTTCCTTCGAAGAAGGGATAATGAGAATGTTAAGGATAAATGGATTGAGTTCAACCTCTTATATGTGGTGTTAAACAAGGACAAAAGTCATAAGTCTAAGTTAACACAGGTTTTGGATGTTAATCGAATGCCATGAGTCTAAGTTAATGGTTGTTTTAGAGGATTATCAATGAGTAAACTTGAAAGCAAAATGTATTATTTGTTGCAATAGCATTTTATGGAATACAGTGGTTTTCAAAGTCTCTTATTTTAGTTCAAAGTTATAACTTCATGGTTGGTTTGAGCATTTAGCAGTTGCATATGGAGTTGCAATTAATACATCAAGATTCTGTTGATGATCTTATAGAAGCTTTAGATTCTTATGGTAGTTTATAATCACCCAACAGAAGTTCTAAATGTTATATTTGACTTATTACCATCTTTCAGAGGGGAGGATGGTGTAAGGTTTATAAATATATGTATGTATATACATATATTACCCTAACTAAGCAATAAACTAATTATAGTACTACAGTATATAGACTGTCCA